AGACTGAAAAAACTGATGTATAAAATGTGTACCGTAAAATGTGACAGTCCAATATCATGTCATAACTGAAATCTCATGAAGTGGTAGATATGAACAGCACAATCATCACATGTAACTTGGCAGAAGCTGGTAGATAAATATGTGAGAGGTTGTGGTCACTGACAGGGTTTAAACCATGAAACCCATGTTTTTCTTGTATGCCTATAGATGTACTGTCATTTATCCACTAAAAACCATTTTACCCATTAATAGTTTGATTACATAAACTGTCAAGGTTGCATATTGCATATCATTTTCTTTTCCCCTGAAATTAACTGTCTAGCAATAAAAGGTTCTAACTTCATCAAAATCATGTTTTAGGTCAACTTTGAAACCGTCCCACAAAAAAAAAGGGGTCATTTTTGAAACTGAAACTAACATAAGTTTAATCCCAATTCCCATGCCATCAGTCAGACAAGTATAACATCTTTTGAATAGCAATAAATTAACATAAGAAATCTAAATCATGTCTTCAATAAAGAAAACCTGAGGACCGTCTTTTGAAACTTTGAGGTGCACTGTTTGAAATATTGGGACCAGAAAGATCAACAAATAGCTTTAAGGCCATTGATGATGAAGTAAGTTGAGGCTTTGAGTCACTTTGCTTTTCTTGGAACCAAGCATGCACCTAAGAAACCATAGAAACAATATTTATGAATAATGATCTGGCACCAAATTTGTTGTAACAATAATGTCTAGGATGCGACCACTCTTACAATATCAAATAAATTGCACATAGGACTGACAAAATGTAATAGCTATATTATGTATTACAATAACATTGTGCTAATGATGGGTAGGGGAGAAATGGGAAATAGAGAGATGCATTATAATTCAAAATCCTGCTTTTGTCTGGTATAAGGGAGAAATGAAAGGAAACAAACTCAGGGCACTTTTCATCCTGAAACCATAAATAGTATCTATCCAATTTTTGAAGATGGGGGAGAGAAATGAAGAAAAAATGAGGTTTGTCTACTTGTTTCAAGATTTTACCAAGCAAATTCCTTTATTTATTTATCC